TATGTATGTGTATATTCACGCGGACAGTTTTTGCTTCGATTTTGTACGTGTCCCTTTATCTAGTTACTATTGTTGATCGAAGATTTAGTTCCATTAAATTTAGTTTTATTGCAAATCACTTTCTTTGTTTATTGCTTCTGATTGTTCGTTTAGACAACAAACAAAATAGTACCGATATTGATTAAACGTCGGTTAAAAGTTTGATTAGGTCAACCTTGTTTATCGTTTATGTACTCAACACATGTTCACGATTGACTTCCACGGTGAAGGAATAACATCGTGTAATAAAAACCAAACCCGCAAAATTATAATTTGCGTAATCACTGGTGGTAGGACCTCTAGTGAGTTCGCACGGGTAGGTACCACCACCCCGCCTATTTCCGCCGTGAAGCAGTAATGCGTTTCGGTTCGAAGGGTGGGGTAGCCGTTGTAACTATACTGAGACCTTAGAACTTATATCTCGAGGTGGGTGGCGCATTTACGTTGTAGATGTCTATGGGCTCCAGTAACCACTTAACACCAGGTGGGCTGTGAGCTCGTCCATCCATCTAAGCAATAAAAAAAATAAAAAATCGTACTATGGCCAATATTTTAAGAATTTCGTTCTGTAGGAGACTAGAATTTACCCTTTGCAGCCATGGCGAGCAACCAACTATCGTGATTCTCTATAGGAATCAATCTTTAATTTCTCGCCAACCTTGATGCTCATAAATGGCTTTTGTTTCTTTCTTAAAATTCTACTTGTGTCCTACTTGGCTGTTTGACGATAGCCTCTTATCGAACCTGCAAACGGAACTGAAATCTCCTCCTTCTTTAGAAAAGATAGGATCTCGACTTGAGACGTACAGCACTGACTTCCTTACATATACCAGAATTTGCTGCAACACCCAACGTTACTTCAAAAGGATCGAGTAAGTCCATCTCCTGAAGCGCTACGTTTTAAAAAAGCTTACTGTGAAACACAAGCATGTGTGTCTTTAAGCGCAATCTTTGACCAACTAAAACACAGTAGCTGCTAAATATCGAACACGAAATAGGTCCACATGGCGTTTGGCCACGAGCACGTATACTTCTTAACTTAGCGTAATATCAGGATTCAAGGGACGCGGTCAAAGATGCTTGAGCGATGAATCGTCTGTATTCAAATCATTAATATGTACGATTGCAATCGTCGACCCATTGACCAGTCACGAAGATTGAGACCACATAAAATAAATAATATTATGTACCTTGTTTCCTTCAATGTTATTTACGACTGGCATTTAGAGTACTCCGTAACCCATTGGCATTAAAAGGATAATGAAGGCGCAAACCAAAACAAACATGTTTGGTATGAACCCATGTCAACTTGGCGCAATGTCCACCATCTTTTTTTTTTTTTTTTTTCTTAGATGTTTGGACGAGCTCACAGCCTACCTGGTGTTAAGTGGTTACTGGAGCCCATAGACATCTACGACGTAAATGCGCCATCCACCTTGAGATATAAGTTCTTAGATTTCAAGTATAGTTACAACGGCTGTCCCACCCTTCAAACCGAAACGCATTACTGCTTCACGGCAGAAAAAGGCGAGTTGGTGGTACCTACCCGTGCGGACTCACAAGAGGTCCTACCACCATCTATCGTCATTCGAATGCTAATTTTGACAATGATATAAGAGTATTCCATGAAAAAAGCGTCTCACAAATTACTCTAATCACTCAATTGCATACATGACGTAATATTGAATGATGTCAGTAACGCGGTCGATTCGAAACCTATACAAAAAAAAAACACAACATTGAATGAAACGTGGGATTTGGATTGCATCAAGCAAAAATAAGGAAATGAACAATGCTTTATCGTTGAAGGTTAGTTACAACGACTTATAGGATCTATTGTCAAGTTCGAAGATCCAATGGCAGATTGATAAACAAGACTAATCGTAAAGAACTATTACGACTTTTATTGACAAACTTAGCGATCGTATGTATGTATGGTATTTTTATACTTTTATTTTTTCATACAAACATTTGAGGTTAGCAACAAGGGTCAAGACGGAGCTAGTAGGATGCTGGGCTGGGATTTTCGAACTGGGCTGGATTTTGTCAGTTTAATTAAAATAAAGGATTTCTTAAAATTCAGCAGTCCATTGAAATTAACAATTTTATTATTCATGTTATAACTGCTAAAAATACCTGATTCTAATGACAATCACGTATTTTTAGTAGCTCCAATCAGAGCTCGTTTGTAATTGCACTAGTTGGGTGGAGTATCTGAGAGATCTCTATATGTTAAGTGGCTACCAGTGTGCTTAGTGCGAGTTTTTTAACGTTCTCGATAGCGCAAAAGTTAGCCCAATTTTGTATGCAGTAGGAACAGCGTCCCTAGCGGAAAACGTAGGCAAACGATCACAGTCCATACAAATAATATGAACTAACTTTTACGCTGTCGAGAACGTTAAAAAACTCGCACTAAGTACAGAGGACCCAAAGACAAGAGTTGTGACGTGAGATCGAAGTTTCAGTTACATTAGAAAACGGCTGTCGTCAAACCATCAAACTGGAATGCATAATTGCTTTGGACAGAAATAGGTTTCATAATGATAAAAACAATAAGCCCGCCCGTGCGGCTTCACAATACTTATTTATGGCATGATCTAGCTTCATAAGGCCGTTTATGATAGGCGATTTTCGAAATATGTATTTATTCATGGAAACCTCACCGACGTGTAGATACAAGCCCGTTGCTTACGAAGGGCGATCCCTATTTTAATCGTGGATAACGCAGAGGGACGAAATAGGTCAATCACATCAATTACCGAACAGTTCGTTACCAAGACTAATTTTGGACGAAATCTATTCAAATTAATCTCTCTGTGGTTTTAATGCGAAGATTGTCGATACATGAGAGAAATTTAAGTTCTATAATGAAATGGAAAACTCTTATTTCATTTTTTAATAAGTTAAACTCCTTTTATTGAAGTAAAACTTGTAATGAACAAAAAAAAATTCGGCTCTTCTTCAATTGAATGACATGAATATAAAACATGAAAATGAACTACAGAAAATATAATAAAAAGATAGAGTACCACGAATTATATGTTTAGATATTTTCGTTTAAGGTCCAAAAACAACTATTTTTGTTTTATTTAGAAGAGACTTGATTCATACATAAATAATTATAATAGCAGATAGTAACTAGGAATAACAGAATATTTGCTACTGTTTAAAATTTGTAAAACTTTGGATACCAAAGGCACAAAGCTACCGCACCAATTTCAAATAGACAATCCAAAAAAGGAAATGTTATGTATTTGAGAGAATCATTTTCTTTCAAGCAAGATTTTCACAAGTAATTTCTATGATCACCAGTAAAATTTTATAATCAGGTAGACAGGATGATGTCTTCAGTGACAGTAAACCCTTTTAGTTGAATTCTCTCCTCCGTACACTTGTCAACAAGCCACAAAAGTGAGATGCCTATCAAAAAAAACAGAAATCAAATAGCTAGATCATTATTTTCTGGATTGTAAACCCAAGAATAAATGCCCCAAAATAACAGCAGCAAAAAACTTGCTTAATGATGTTAACGGTATTTAATCGGACCAGGAATCAAAAGTGGACATAATACTATGGTAGCAAGAGTTACTTACTCCATTCCACTCCATAACTAATTCTACATTACAAAAATTTTTTGCAGCAATAAAATCCTGTTTATTAAACAAGACATATTGTATTGTTCAAGGCTAAATGAATTGGAACTAATTCATAGAAGCTAGGTTCTTACAACAGATTCAACATATTAAATAGCAGTGATGATAATTCTTTTTGTAGCATTTTCCTTTTTTATCTTTTTTTTATGAGTATTAAACACACATGAATTACATTCCATTTAGCTGATAAAAACATATTGTTATATTTTACTCATAGAATGACATACAACAGACAATATCCTGCAATGCATGCAAGACACATGTGAAATGCGTTGGATTTCCACATAATGATACAACTGAGATGCTCTGGCCAGGTAAAGATCAGATTTACACCAATTACACGTTAAGCCATCATACAATAACGTTTTTTAAAAAGCACTGCAGTAACAATTGAATGTGTACGAACAGCAAAACCGTCTACATGCATTGTAAAGGAGTTACGCTAGAACAGCCTTTCCTAAAATAACAAAAGAAGGTCATAACAATCTAAAAAAAGTGTTCTGCCATCTTCTACAAATTATTTCTTTGTAGATTAGTGTCCAATGTAGTAAAAACATTATATATTGATCATTTGATAGCTTTTAGAGGAAATTTATATCTCTTCTATGTTACCTCTCCATACTATATGAGGTTATCATAATTACTGAATCAGCAGGCAAGTAACGGAGGCAACTTTGCATAGTGTATAAATAAAATAGAACTTTTTAACAAACTATTAAAGGAAAGATAATGAACCACCACCATTAAGATAGATCAATGGACTGTATGACTCAATGCACTACTACTAATATCACTTTTTAGTTTGTATGAAAGATGTGTGGGTGACTATGACCAATTGCTCAACCACTAGCATTTCAATTTTAGAACTGTATACTTCTAAATTTAGTATATGCATTTGTTTTTGATTTAACATACATTTGTAGCTACAAACTAAAAACATTTTTATTTGAAAATTAAATTTAAACATATATCTGCTGCTTGGGAACTTAGTTGAGATTAGTTATGAATCAGTTTAGTCATTTAAAAAAACTCATAATGACGAAAATATTGGTTTATTAATGTGTTAAAAAAAATCCTCTCAGAATTTCTGTTGACATTACAATCCTGTAAGTAATCCTACTAAATAAATATACATATATTTATTTATTAAAATTTTATAAAAATTCATAACTGACGTAAGACTGGCTACGAAAATTTTGTCAAATTTGTTACAAAAAATAGGTAGGTAAGTTTCACGCGTTCATATGTAAATTACATTAGCCTGATTGTGAATCGAATAATACTGAAGGCAGTACATAGTATACTCACTTTCTTTTTCGTGGTCGAATCCCACTATAACAAAGTAGTCGACGAGCCTGGACATGGCAATCCTACGACAACATTCGCGCACAAACACCACAAATTCACTTTTTAATCAAATTACAACAGTTTATCTACATTTTAAACAAAAATCCGTTTCATTACACATTTTCTTCAGGTACATTCTAAACGTAAACACTATTTCCGCGCTTAATTTAATTCAGGACAAATCACGTAAACACCTGCTTTGTTTATCACTGTAGCAAGAAATTCGAAAACTAAAATAAAGATAAGAGATAGTCCGAACGCGGAGGTTAGTTGTCCGATGACATCAACTCAAACCGGTTTTCACAATCAATATTAAGTGTATAATCTATGTTCACAATTATAACATTTAAAAAAGAAAACAGAGTAATCGATATCTTTGCTATTAAAGTACTCTTGATTTTGATCAGGAGTTATTGCGGGTTTCGCAATAAATCATGACATTCAATGAAGACCATCACTCATACGACCGAACGACCGACGGACATTTCTGATTGATAGTATTAAGTGTATAATCTATGGTAATAACAACATTTGTCATTTTAGCGTAGTCAGTGCTGCTGCTTTAAAAAATGTTATACTTGTGAAAAAAAAAACGCTAAAAAATAGTCTTTATTACATGCGTGAATGCACAAGCTTTTATCGTCGTTCAAAAGCAGCAATGCTAATACAATTGAAAAGTTACTTTAAAAGACTCAATTTAAAAGTTACGAATTAGTGAGTCCATGATTTTTTAGTATGGCAATTTTTACGTAATTTTCTTTTTTGTATGGCAGTTGACTTCTTGTGATATCATTGCTGCCAAAGTAGTACTTACAAAATCTTTGAAGAAAATGTCTTATACTGAGATAAATCAAATTAAAATATGAAAAGGGATAAGTTGAAATGAAGTAAATGTTCCAGCAAAATGTTGGGAATTTACTGCAACGTTACAGACTTTTTGGAAGAACCTCAGAATCCACCACTAGCTTCTTCAATACATTTACCCCTACATACATATGAAATTTCCCGGATATCAAACTGTTACTAAGAGAACATTATTATTGAGCTATGATGATGATGACCTTACAAGCATCTTGGTATAGACTCTCTATCTCACTCGCATCCTTATCGGCCCCAGTAACCATAATCCAATCACAATAGTCGCTGATCGTTCACNCCTCAGAATCCACCACTAGCTTCTTCAATACATTTACCCCTACATACATATGAAATTTCCCGGATATCAAACTGTTACTAAGAGAACATTATTATTGAGCTATGATGATGATGACCTTACAAGCATCTTGGTATAGACTCTCTATCTCACTCGCATCCTTATCGGCCCCAGTAACCATAATCCAATCACAATAGTCGCTGATCGTTCACACCTATGTTGGGCACATGCACAAAACAACTGTCGACTTTTATAAAAAAAACAAGAGGCTGATCGTCGTAGGCTCTTAGGCTATTACAGTTTTACGACGAAATACTAAACTTTAAATACCCACCAAAAAGTGATTGACTAGTTCCAAGATTGGTGTCCTCAGTCCTTGCATCGTTATCACCTTACCCTCTAAAATGCGTTCCTAAGTATGGTTTAATAGAAGATATTATATATTTTACAAACTTACAAATTATATATTTTTGTCAAAATTAGACTGGTATTTAGGTTTAAATTTTAAAATTTCCGAATGACAAGTTCTAGGCAATCTACGGAAAAATTCTATACGGTACTAATTTTTAATTGCTTTCAACAAAAAAATGTGCGTTTTTAAAATGGTAATTGTTTTCAGGAAAAATCTCAGACTCAAAAAACCTTTATCTAACCTCTTTTCTAGTTCCATTCATATAACATGTGTGGATTTTTAAAATGTGGTTTTATACACACACACACACACACATATGTGGTTATACATATATACGCATATATTTTCTCGCCCTTGAACATAGCCAATGCCATTTCACTGTATTACCGAGCACTATTTTATAAGCTTGCCTCAATGAAGGATAAGTCCGAGGAAGATATATAATATATTTAAATACGTATTTTATCTAGTTTTTAAATGAAGAGACGATGTGTGTTGACAAGTAATGCGGCGTTGTCACTCCATTTATTTAGATTTATTTTATCGTAATTATATTTAGGGCTACCGGTACATGTTCAGGAAGCTTATTAACAATTAAAAACTTTAAAAGCACAAACTTTATCTGTACATGGCGGAATAGCTTTTTCAGACAGATAGCTAGATACACTAACTTAGTGTAGACATACATAATAATATCATACATAGCTGTTTAGCATGCTGTATATTCGTAAAAATACACAGTAAGTAAAATCACGTAGGTATATCCTACAGTAATACAGTATGTAATCTGTATTATAACCTTCATCCTCATTTGTCAAATATATTAAGTGTATAATCTATGCTCATTTGATTTCCTCCTACACAAAACTTTGTGACAAAACAGAATTTGACAACGCACAACAAACACAAACATTGATGCTTACCCACCGAAACGATAAAAATGTAAAACTTGAAATATAAAAAAAAATGTCAGTTAACGCCAGCCAGGATATACCTGGATTGAAGCAAAAAAAAGTATTTAAAATTATAGTTCTCGGTGATTCAGGTGTTGGGAAAACTTGTCTAACTTNCCACCATTTTACTGCGATTATATCTCATCCCATATCATCTCATTTCATTAAATTTCATCCCAGTTGATTAATGTTTCAAATTAATCATCTTCATTTCATTTCACTCCATATTATCATTTTTCATAAAATTAAGAATATAAAGTAAAATAAGACATGACTTAAAGGTCTTAGTTACCAGGTCATAAAATCTCTTAAAAAAAAAAAAAAAAATCCTACACAAAACTTTGTGACAAAACCAGACAAAACAGAATTTGACAACGCACAACCAACACAAACATTGATGCTTACCCACCGAAACGATAAAAATGTAAAACTTGAAATATAAAAAAAAAATGTCAGTTAACGCCAGCCAGGATATACCTGGATTGAAGCAAAAAAAAGTATTTAAAATTATAGTTCTCGGTGATTCAGGTGTTGGGAAAACTTGTCTAACTTATCGTTTTTGTGAGGGCCAGTTTTTAAATAAATCTGAAGCTACAATCGGTGTTGATTTCAGAGAGAGAAACATTAAAATTCGTAATGAGGATATCAAGGTAAAGTTGTTACAAGAAAACAAGTACAAAATAAACTATTTCTAAATCATAAATACTAAAAGCTAATCATGAAACTAGTTGCCATCTGTAAAAGCGATCCTACACAATTAAATGTATAGATATGTTCTGGAAAGCTGTATATAAAATCGTTTGTTAAGTAATAATACTGGCATTTAACGCCCACTTTTGTTGTCTATATGAAACTACAGGGCTATCAATGCTTTTTGTCCCATAGCTTTTTAAGGGACTCTAAGCAAGATGTTAATTAACAATAACATTTCAAGAAAAAACAATAACATTAAACCACAAGACAACAAGACAAAAAGAAAATCCAAGACTTGATGACCCTGAGCAGTGCAATGGTTTAAAAAGTAGGATTCAAATATAATAATTTGTCTTAAAACAATTTTTAGCTCCAGTTATGGGACACTGCTGGACAAGAAAGATTTCGAAAATCAATGGTGCAGCACTACTATAGAAATGTTCATGCAGTTGTCATTGTTTATGATGTTACAAAGCCAGAAACGTTTCATGTATGTGTTTATGGAATTTTATTGATATCTTAACTACAGTTAAAACCGTTTACTGCGACATCGTTTAGAACAACATGCCATTTATAATAACCTAGAACAAAGGTCCCGGCTGAATGCCATATGACCGCCTTATTAAAAATATTGCTTTCTACGACATTGGTAATAACGACATACCTCATAAAACGACCACATTTAACTAATATTTCGGAGAATTAGATCTGTTACAACGACCGGCTAAGCTGTATTGTAAACAATTTCAATAGGTATATAATTTGTCTTAAATGGCTTTTAAAATCAAGAAAGAAAACAATAGGATTTAGTTTAGTGTAGGGTCTTTTCTAATTCTTAGAAACAAAACACGTGCATGCGGTAGTCAAAGCCCGCTTCTTCATATCTCTTCAGTTAGTTTGTTACTTATCTATACACAAGCGCACCAAAACTTTGTGGAGTTATTCATGAAACTTTCAAAATGTCGCAAAGAAAAAGAAAACAAATTAATATTGAAGAAAAATCGCGTATTATGTAAATATATTTTTCCAATAATTCCCTATCAATTTGTTTATACCTGCACGATACACATTAAACATCACCGGTTGTTACGACTATCGGTTTTTACGACTGAATATGAGCAGTCCCTTCGATGTCGTTATAACAGATTTTGACTGTATTTGAATGATTTATTAAAAATCATTATCATAACAACATTAATAACATATAAAAAAATGTAAAAATATTGTACAATTATAAGTTTGTCAAAAAACAACGACCACACATAGTCATAATTTTGTGTCTCTGCCTTTTTATAATTTTTCCCTAAAAATTGTTTAGTTTAAAAAACAGCTAAATGATGATGAACTGTTATTTCAGTCTATATCAGCTTGGATGCAAGAGATCGAATCCCATGGCTTAATGAATGCTCCTAGAGTCCTTGTGGGCAATAAATGTGACTGTGGTACTCCTGAATCCAGGCTAGCCACCACTTATGCTCAGAGATTAGCTGATAAATATGGCATGCCTGTAAGTACGAAAATCCATAATGAAATTAAGTAAACTTCTGTTTGTTGTATACAATATAGATAGGCAAATTTTAATGACTAAACACCTATGATGCCAAAAAGAAAAATTGGCTATACTTTTAAATAAATAAAATGAGTATGTACCAGTTGCCTAATATGATACCTTATGATATGATATGATACCCTAAATGACTTAAAATAAAATAAAAAAACCTTATTTTTAATACATAATAATATGTACAATGATATTGATAAAAGTTAATTTTTTCAGCTATTTGAAACATCGGCACTGTTGGATTCAGAATGTGATAATGTGGAGTCAATATTCTTGACCTTAGCACATAAATTGTACTCTAAACAGCCATTGAGAGTTATTAGTGTGGCGGTAAGTAAATTATAATAGAGATAATTATACTAAAAATACCTATACTGGGTCTTAGGAGACCGCTTCCGAAAACGAAGACAGACGATAGTACTTATGACACCTTTGATGATGGTATAGAAAAAAAAATCGATACTGATTTTAAAAAAAAAAACATATTTTTAAAATGTTTTATTAGTATTATTTAAGCTCGATAATTAAGCTCGATAATTAAGCTCGATCGAAACGATAGTTTCATAAAAAATACATTTTACTGAAAAAAAACCAGAAACGAAACACAAAATCAAAAACAGCTGATGCTCGGATTAACGAACGCCCGGGCGCGACGTTTCTTTTGCACGCATAACGCTGCGGCGGCGCGGCGGGTGCGTGGCGCTGATACCGCACCGCAAAATTTACAACTTTTTAGGTACGAAATTTTCGTTTTCGGAAGTGGTCTCCTAACACCCAGTAAAGTATGGTTTAAACTAGGCATGTGTCTATGAACATTTTTGTCCATATCATACTGATACCAAANAACGAACGCCCGGGCGCGACGTTTCTTTTGCACGCATAACGCTGCGGCGGCGCGGCGGGTGCGTGGCGCTGATACCGCACCGCAAAATTTACAACTTTTTAGGTACGAAATTTTCGTTTTCGGAAGTGGTCTCCTAACACCCAGTAAAGTATGGTTTAAACTAGGCATGTGTCTATGAACATTTTTGTCCATATCATACTGATACCAAAATTGATCAAAACGTGTCAGCAACATGTGTCCGTGTGCCGAAATGATAGTAATGATATTATAGTAACGAGAAATGAAGGAAGATAATCAATATAACTAAAAGAAATCTTTTACATCTTTAGATGACAAAAATAACCTGAAACCATCTTTAATGAATTCTGGATCTAATAAAATACCATCAGTGGGATAGCAACTTACAATATAACACCAACTTTACTAATTAATTTTGTAACCTGTATGAAGTGAAACAAAATTATAAGTAGAACTTACTGGGACGATTGATCTCCACAGTGGAGGAATAACATTGTGTAATAAAAACCAAACCCACAAAATTATAAATTGCGTAATTACTGGTGGTATTACCTCTTGTGAGTCTACACGGGTAGGTCAACTCGTCCACCCATCTTAGTAATAAAAAAATGAATGCATAATGCATCATATGACTTCAGAATACAATTTTTTTCAGGATAAAGGCACCATATGTCCTCTTCTATACCCCTGAAAACATGTATGCAAAATTTCATGACTTTATCAATCATTATTGATTATTCTGATTGTATTAAAATATATAAAATATTAATAAAATTATACATATAAGACTAATTTCATATGAGAAATATTATAATCTTCACATAGCTTTACAATGATTTCAGGGAGAAGTCAGTAAGGGTGTGGTCACATTGTCAAGACAGAGGAAAGTTGGTTGCAGTTCCGATCAGAATAGCTGTCTATGCAACTGAAAATAACATTGAAACATGAAAGTATCGTCGGTCAGTTATGATCCCAACATAAATACAGGAAGGGATCAAATGAAACATTGTCCGTTATATAATTATACATGAATTAATTTTGAATTGCCTTAGCAATTTTATTTTTTAGGACTAAAACTAATAGCTGATTCGTAATGTCAACATCATGCTGTCTCTCTCGTGCGCCCACAGCGGCGGCATGCTGTCAACATGCGCATATATTTATTCGTTGTTTGAAAGGATTTGACGGTAGGCAGCTGCTCGGCTCTGTCCCTGGTATTGCCGACGTCCATGAGCGACGTTGACGACCCTCTATCAGGTGAGCCGTATGCTCTTCTGCCTATAAGGGCAATAAAAAGATTTAAAAAAATATACCTACAACCCATAGGATTGAAAACGTTTCAAACTTTTTTTGAGCGGTTTTGTATAGCCCTTGGCGTTTTTGGTAGTAAAAAAGTTTATATCCTTATGAGCCAGTGTGATGGCAACATGTAACCTAACTTACTGTTCTTTAAATATTATTGTTGGCATAAATGGTATTTCTCAAATAAGGCCAATAACGGAAAATACCTTTCCTATATACGTGTCGACTTTTAGTCACACACCAAGGTTCAAAGCTAATTGGGGGGAATAATAGAGTTAGAATAGGGACAAATCTGGGATGTCAATACTTTTGTTGAGTTGTTAGGTTTAACTTTGTTGAACTGAAAATGAGTTTTATATTAGATGTTTAAGAATTTTAAATGGTTTCATTTAGTCATCAAAGTTTTGTAACTCATTAAAGATTTTAAGAAGTTAATTACCTAAAGTTAGGTAAACTTACCTAACAACTAAATAGTGCCAGCCTCTTCGAAAAAGTCTTGTCCCCATATGTAACCTGATTCACCCCAAAGCCAAGATGAATCGGGTCAATCTAGTTTTTTAAGTTTTTGTGTATGTATAATAATGCATCGTACATAAAAAAATAATTTAACCTCCGGAACTATTTTAGTCTCAATTTTATTGGTGTTGCCCTAAAAAAAATCATTGAAACATTTGTGTTGGATTTGGAAAGGGTCCCGATTCTTCCCAATGTACGGTAATTACGTTTATTATGTTTAAAATTTTATTTAAATTGTACAGAAAAAAATTCAAAATAAATGTGACATAAAAAATAAATCAATTTCGAACCATGAATCCATGAATGGATAGTCTAAATCAGGACTATCTAGTAGGAAATATATAAAACTCGTACTATTTTCAATCCCCCAAAGATGTAATAATCTTTACCTGGTTAATAATAATACTGATCTCACTGTAAAAAGATAAATATGAGGCCCAATGAATTTATATGAATTAACATAGCAATCTACATAATATGCAAATCAATGTCTATGATGTATTTTGTTACTTTAATTTAAATGTTAAGATTCTACAACTTTAAATTATTATATTATTGAAGATTTAATTTTTATTAAAATAATGTTATATTTATGTATTTGCAGTTTTATTGATGTTTTCTGGTGTTCTAAACGTATTCGAAATATCCTATAAATAAGCCCAAGCATGCATTGTAACAATGCATTTATTTTTGTAAAACTATTTAAAGAATGTTTACTGTATATTCTGTCTTAAAAGGGCGGTAAATACTTTTCAAATAGAATTGCTACGTTTGAATAATACTGCTTATCTTTTAAGTTTTTTCACTTATACATTCCCACTTTTGAAACCGTCTCTCAGCGACTCCGTGGCGCAACGGTAGCGCGTCTGACTCCAGATCAGAAGGTTGCGTGTTCAAATCACGTCGGGGTCAAATTTATTTTTTGTTCCACAATTTATCATTGCAATAAGTTTTATCTCATTTTCTAATCTTTTAAAATACTACAATATGACGATCGGGCATAACTTGCGACTTAAGTTCATGAGCATGAATAGAGTAGGTGCTTTTTAGATATCTCTGTATCTCAGAATATAATATTTTGGGATAAGGAATTATTAAATAAAACAATATTATTATGTAATGCAATCAATGCTTATTTAATTATTGATAAACGTTTTAAAGGACACCGGACACTAGTACACACACAATCAAAATATTCATATATTTTTATTATTAGATGACTATGAAACAATCCATTTTCATAATGACATTTAATAAAAAAAAAAGGAATATTTTTTGTGAATGGTACATATGGTGGTAAAAATGGTAAATATTTACATTTACTCAAAACGCATAAGACTAATATTCCTATATGTGCTAAATGTATTTGGCAAAGCATTTTAAATTACAGTACGAGAAAAGTTTGATCAATCAAGAAGCAAACCTGAGCGCTATGTACACTAATGCTTTGTTTTGGTAAGTTTTGTAAGTGAATTAATCGTCATCTTCAAAAATTTGTTTGTGAGATATACATATTTTGTAAGATTTCTTTTCTACATATTATTATGTTTTATATTAACTTGGATGTTTATTTAACATCACGTAAAGGACGAAAATTAAAATTTTACAACCTAACTAAATTAAGCCTTCATAGGCTATTAGAACGCAAGAGGGCAGAATTATTAGATTATTTATATTTAGGTTATTATTCTTCATAATATTGGTTTTCAAAGTTTTCTATTACTTACGAAAAGTTATTACTTTTGATTTAGATATACGTATATGATGTAGTTATAATAATTATTATTTATATTCTATTACAGCAGATCCATCAACAATAAACCCTCTATATTTAGCTTCTATTTTACATTCTATATTAAATGTTAGATAAAACAACGCACACTAAAATTAAGAACATTGTTAATCAATTGCACTAACACAAACTACAACCTAATTTAAGCTCGTTTGATAACGAATCTAATGCTATCGCGTAAGACCGGGTGTTTATCGATAACAGTTTACATATTAAATTATTTTTTTAATTTCATGGTCAAGTACAACCACTTATTTTAGATTGAGCTAGACTAAGCTATGTCTAATAGTAATACTTTTGAGAATCCAATGTCAAAAGCTACGAGTTCAGTAAAGGGCTTACTCTCAACCAGCTCGAACATCAATTAAACCAAATAACTTTATTTCCGATACAGTGTCTGTCTGTTGTGTGCTCAGTCTTACGCCCTACACGAGAAATAATATTGAGTATAACACAGCCATTTCTCGCAACATTTAGAATGTCAATTATTTAATCTAGATTGTTATTTCGAATAGCCACTAGTTAACTTTTCTGAATGCAAATTTCTATATGGAATCTCACACAACAATGTGGTATATATAAGTTTTAGGTTTTTTAGCTTGTTTATAAATCAAAATTTATATTATTATAAATAAATATTACGATTATTAGAATATTGTACAAATATGTTAGTTGAAGAAAACACGATTACATCAATTTTACATTACAATATAATTGAAACAATTTTCAAGACATTAATTTATCAACTTTATTAACAAGAAAAAAATTACGCAGATAAGAAACGACGCAAAACACTTTTTGCCAAGAATATCAACACTGTATTTTAATACAAAATTCTGAAACCACATGTTTCTTTAATTGCCAAGATAAAAACATAAATGAGCCACATTCCGTGACACACAAACAGGATAAGATGATATTTTTGTAACACCGTTAAAAAGCTTAATCTTCAGAAAGGAGATATTATTCTAATTCATTATTCCACGACGGAATTATACTAGACTTCGAGCAATCTTCGTTAAAATATTAAATGTTTTTTGGAAAATATATTGAAATAGCGTCGGGTTACAGTGTCGAATGTGTTCTTCCCGTCACGTGGATCAGTCGGCATCACGCGACGCCGATGTCCCTGACGGCCTGCTGCAGCTGCTCCAGAGTGAATCAGAAGTTCTGCCAGGTGGTGATGACGAGCATGTTGGTGTCGAGGGCGCGGGCGATGCGCTCGTGCACCCCGTGGCTGAGCCACAGGATCCTCAGCGCCTCGTACCGCTCGTGGCACAGGTGCAGCGGGTTGCCGCGGGACAGACCCTGACAACCATTCAAAGTATAAGTGTGGCTGCTCGCAGATACGGCTAAGTTACAATTTTTTTTTCCGCACGGGTAAGTACCAGCGCCCTGCCTATTTCTGCCGTGAAGCAGTAATGCGTTTCGGGCTGAAGGGTAGGGCAGCCGTTGTAACTATACTGAGATCTTAGAACTTATCTCAAGGCGGGTGGCGCATTTACGTTGTAGATGTCTATGGGCTCCAGTGATCACTTAACATCAGGTGGGCTGTGAGCCCGTCCACCCATCTAAGCAATAAAAAAATAAAAAAAACCTCCGCAGGTACGTACCTGGTCGGTCTCCCCGTACGTGTCCAGATAGGGCGCAGGCATCTTGGCGCCGCGCGAGGGGGCGGCCACCAGCAGCAGCTCGCAGGAGCGCACGCGCAGGAACACGCCGGCGCCGCGGCCGCAGCGCAGCGCGTGCCACACCACCGCGCCCACGCGCTCCGTGCCCCCGCCGCGGCTCTGCGCAACCACACACCCTCACTTGTGCTACTGTTCTATTGCTCTATCCGTGTGCTTTAACGTTCTCGATAGCATTTTTTTTCCTACCTAAGCTGAGAAGAGCCTTGAGAGGATATTTTTTTACTGCCCTTGTGGGCAGACGAACGCACGGCCCACCTGATGGTGAGTGGTTACCGTCGCCCATGGACTTCAGGAATGCCAGAGGCAGAGCCAAGCCGCTGCCTAACGCTTAATACTCTCCACAAGCCTCGTTTAAAGAAGGACATGTCATAGCACTCGGGAAACACCGTGGAGGGGAGCTCATTCCATAGCCGGATGGTACGTGGCAAAAAAGACCGTAATCATATATATCAACGTAAGTGTAGTGTAGTAGGTGAGCTGTCTGTGGGTTAATTTACTCGTCGAGCCCTTCATCGCAAGTGTCGGGTTCGACGACCGGCTCGATAGCATAAAAGTTTGCTTATATTTGTATGGAATGGGATCGTTTGCCTACGTTTGCCGGTAGGGGCGCTGTTTCAAGTGCATACAAATTTTGATTTAACTTTTACGCTATCGAGAACGTTAAAAAACTCGCACTAAGCACACCGATATACATTGTCTATATTGAATTAATACGTGAAGCAAAAACGTTGTACCCCTTTTTACGAAAATTGCGCGGACGGAGGAGTATGAAACTTTTCCACACTTATAGTTTATACAGAGAAGGCGTTTAGAATGCTAATATTATTTTAAAAATTATCCATAAAAAATACATTAACTCAATAAAAAAATATGACACACACTAACACGTATTTGACATACTTTTTCGTTTATTGTTAAAGTCAGTTGTCAAATTGACAATAGAACCATAATAATGTTCAAACTTATAAGTAATTTAAATGAATTATGGTCAAATTTCGACCGATGGGCAACCACTGGTATACATAAAACGCGACTTCACGTATCCTCGCCCCATAAGGCAATAAACCTAAGCTACCAAGTTTTACAAACAGGAATTTAATTTGTAGTCGTGTTTAGAAAGAACCATTACAGTTTGAAGACGGGTACAACTGTTATACTCTGCAATTGAAACTTATACCTCTGGTCTCAGGTTGGTAGGAGCTTTCACGTGATGTCTATGAATAATTTAGCACCAGGTGGGCCGTGAGCTCGTTCACAGGTGGATTTAATAAATAAATAATATTTCACCTTTGGAATTTCTGCTTGACAGCAGTAACTCTGCGAACATAAGATCTGTCCGCAGACGAGACACATCGTT